TGCCTATAACTTAGAGTGAATAAACATCATTGGTGGATATGAGATTGCACCAATGCCAATACGCGCCATTCGCCACTAAGTAGCGGTGACGTCGCCACGCCGCCTGTGCCAGGCTATGTGCACGTTGAGGCCACTTGAAGTGTGCGAGGGGCTGGTAACCCCTCCACCTTCAATGAATTGCCACTAAACCACCAGGTCCTAAACACACATACACACTGGCATCACCTACGGGAGAGCGCCGCCTAGCACTAAGGTCGTGGCATTGACCGTTGCGTTGGCAGTGACCCACGCGACTGTTGTTGGTGCCAGGCCCGCCCCGTCCTCGCTGCTGCTGACAGTTGTCGAGGTCCGGCAGCAGGCAGACGGTGTGGGGCAGCAGGCGGTAACAACACTCGCCAGTGTTGCAGGACAACGACAAAGGCTGCGGTTATTATGTACGGTGCTCATGAGCGCAGTTGGTCCACTCCTGTTTGGTCAGTGTATCGTGATTTCAGTAAATAATGGAGTTTTTTTTTTTTAAAAAACCGTGCACTCAATTGGAAAATGTTTCATGGATTTGAATGGGTGAATACGAAGATGTCTTCCAAAAAAGACACTTTTTTGACTATAATCTGAATATTTGTTTATACTGGAGGAATCTGATGAGCTATAAAGCTCTTTTTTCACAGATGTTGCCGTAGGGGAGGGTCTGAAAGTTACAAAAACAAACAGTACAGAAACACGATAGGGGTGTAAAGTACAAGAAAGGTAAACATCACCCAAGAACATACAAATGCAACTAAACCATCCTCCTCCTACCAGGCAAAGCACACTGAGGTATTTAACTTGTGTTTTACAAGGGACCTGGCCACAAATTATAGCTCACCATCAAAGTGGCTCATCCTGTGGACATTTCTAGCAACAAATTGACCTCAAAAATCTCAATGCATGTTTCCAAATGTCCGTCGGTGAGCGACGGTGGATTTGAGGTCGTGAGCAGCAAGCCGAGCTGGTGTCCACACCCAATTAGAGGCTGGGGCCCGATCGATGTTCCGTCGAGTGTGCCTCTGGCATTGTCGCAGTGTCGAGTGAACGCGCGCGTTTGACTCTTCGTGCCACCACGAGTGCGTGAACGTGCGCCGCATCTATTGCCCATGCGCCGCTTTGTTAACTTCCGTTTGCGGCTCACAAATCAATAGTGCGGTGGGATCTCTCCCTTAACCCAGAGAGAGGGAGCGAGAGCCCCATTGGGATCTATTCTGTCCCTCGCCTGCACGGAGAAATAATTTACAGCGATAACCGCACAGTGCCATTTTGCTGATGGCCTTGGCGTTGGCTTGTCTTTTGGCAGCGGTTAAAGGCGCCTATTTGTTTAAGGGCACGCTACCATGAGCGGGCGGCGGTCGCCCCCGCGGGCAAGATTTTCCGCTATCTTATTAAGTCCTTATTGTTATCATTATCATCGATCATCGTAATTATTGTGAAGCGTTGCGAGAAACGGAGCCTGCTGTTTCTTGGCCTCCCGCCCGCGTTCATTTGCACACAGCTGTGCGTGCGGGCGGGCCTCGGACCCAGACGGGCCGTGTGGGGGAGGCGGTGGTGGCGGTGGCGCGGGTTAGATATTGACTGCCTTTGTCCGTGGAGTGTTGCTAGGCGGTGTCGGGATTGACCGTCTGTCTGTGTGCGGGTCTTGTCGTGCGCGCGCGCGCGTGCACGCGTGTGCGAGCGCCCGTGCAGGCATCCCCCGCTAAGCGTGCATTTTTCCGAGCTCACGTTTGTACGCACGGACGTGTGTGTCCGTATGTGCCCTTGCACGTGTGTGTGCCTGTGCTTATACTTCCTGTGACTTTCTTGCGGGGCGCTCCGACTGTAGACATCTCCCTGTGCGCATCTGTACGTATTTGTAGGGCGGTGATGCGATGATATTCCAGCTCTGCGGGCGTGAATGTTGGCCATGCGCCTGGCCTCAACTTCACGTTGGTTGATTCAGCCTAAAATAAGTATCTGGTACTGTCGTGCGGGTGACACCAACGCTGGGGAGACAAAGGTGGCAGGGCATGCGTGGTATTGGACACACCGCTCCATTGCCGGATGAAGGCTTCCCCACGCGTATCGGTCACGAGGGTTGCTTGACCATACTTCATGGTGCTGGCCATTGCTGTTCGGCAACAGCGGGGGCCCGGGACCGGTTTAGATGTAATTTGGCACCGGCGTTAGCCGTGGGCCCGGGTTCGCAGCGCAGTGCACGAACCACACCGCCCCACCCCCGCTCGCAACCGTCGCTTGCCCTGAAAGTTCTCGGCAATACGACTGGTTGGTATCTTTGTCTGTTTACCAGCGGGCGTGCAGTGGCCACACGGTGGTTGTTTGGGCAGGCGAGCGAGGGACGGTGGGCAGGGTGTGGCTGGGGAGGTGTTCCACTCTTGGGTGCGCTGCCACCGCGGCCCCCGGCGCAGAGAAGAGAAGAAAAAACACAAATCCCTGGCCTTGCGGCGAGCTGGCACGGTGCCCGGTAGCCAGGGCCACATGCTTAGCCAGCACCTGGTCCATCCATTATGTTCCTTTCTTGGCGCTGTTCTGGTGCCTTCCGCGCGCCCCCCCCCAAGCGCCCCCATCCTTCCGTCGGCCTCCACGGCGCCGCCTCCTCGTGCTCGAAGCTGCACACGATGGCCACTCGTCGAGCTGCCGCGTCCGCCTTGCAGAAGGAGCAAAATAAAGTCACTGGGTAGTCGTTGCACTTTCCAAGCAGAGACTCCGCGGATGTCCATCGTTTTTTTTTTGCCAACCCCACTCGGATAATGTCATCGTTGGGATAGGACATCCACCGCGGATGTGCAGCCGATGGAGCTTGATGGGTCCTGAGACTGCGAGATGTGGGGAGAGACCTTCATCCGGCAGCTGTAGATAGAGCATGGCTGCAAATGACGGCGCGGTTGAGTTTCTCGTGACGTACGAATCTGGGGTCCGGCTTACGGCAGTGGCACGCGGTCGTCGCGTTTCGTGACTCGTGCCCACGAGGTCTGCAACCTCAACGTCCGCTCGCACCGCTGAGCGCTGCCAATGGCGTCATTGCGCTCCGGTACCGCGGGTGGCGGTGTTGCCGGTGTCAAATCCAAAGTCGGTTTCTCTCTGCCGAGTGACTTGAGCGGCGAGATGAGCGAGAGTCCCGACTGGCGCGTTTCTCGCCAACCCCCCGCGTCGCTCCCACCTCCTCGCTGCTGGCTCCCCCCTCGCTCTTGATGATCGCTCACGCAAATTAATTGCAATTATCATCCCCCTTCTCGATGCTGGCGCCGCGCGGTCGCCTGACCTCGTTTCGCCGAAACGTGTTCCGACCCGGCTTCTTCGTGCTCTCATAGTTCAGGGGTCTCCTCCGGCCGCAGTCGGCACCCTCTCATGGCCTAGTCCGGCGGGACGATCGTGCCACCGTAGCCTTTGCGGCGGAGCTCCGGCGCTGGGCGAGCGCCGGCGTCTGCAGGGATTGCGCCGAGATCCCCGTTGGCCCCGTGGCACCTTGGGTTTGGTTAAATAAAGTAGCGGGGCAGCAGAGCCGCAGCTGTCGTGCGGCCTGTCAGTGAAAGTGTGTGCGTGTGTGCGCGCATGCACACCGTGTGCTTCTCGAAAAGTGTACGCTTGTATTTGTGTGCGTGCGTGAGTGAATGGGGAGCGTTGGTGTAGTGGTTCGCGCGCTGCGCTACGAACCCGGCGACCCGAGTTCAACTCCCGCTCACAGCCAACACCGGTGACGATTATCTGAACAGCCCTGGGCCCCCTTAGGTCGACTCAGCCTCAAATGAGGCGGTCGGGCGTGGTGCTGGCCACCCACCCCCTCGTGTGCCGTTCCGGCCTCCATAGGTGCTCGCTAACAGCACTTGCCCCAACAGTCTGTTAAGGCTACACCGGGGATCTTTGTTGTGTGTGTGTACTGTGCAGTACTCGCTCATTGTCAACGTTGTCACGTGAGTGGACGCTTGGGCGTGCGTGCATCTTGACGATTGCCACAACATTTTCACACATCTCAAAAACACGAAGAGTCTTTGTTTCATAATCCTCGGTCGACTTTGTTTGGCTTGACGACAGGTCTCAGTGTTCGCAATAAAACTGCCCTCATTGTATTGAAACGTTTCAAATGATGCAAAGACTGAACTTGTTCAATTATCTTTTCATTGTAATTCCACAGAGCTCTGCTTGCCTATAATTTATTCATACAGTGGTCAGCGCCACACTGTGATCATAGCCGTTAGAACGCCACTCCAGCGCTTCAAATGTGAGGGGCTGAAGATAAAACACTTCCGTTTAAACCGAACCGTCTCAACATTTTTTATCAAATATTTAAAGTATTCCCATGGTGGTTGTTGTCTGTGATAAATAATACATTTAAATCACCGCCTTCCTAGGGAGAATGCGTTGGTTTCCATGTACTGGGCGTGCTTGCAGATTCTAAGAAATGTGCGGTGATTTTTCTGAGCAAAATAACGACGTGAGCGGTCAAAAAATGCCCCATGAAGTCGATGCGAACTACAAATTAAAATGAAAAATAACTTGCAACAGATGTACACAGGCCCGAGAGAGTCAGTACAACCCTGCATTTGTACGTCTATTGCTTTCCCTGGTCTAGCGGCGTGCGCGAGCGAATCAACTAAAAACTATTTACGAAACTAAACAATTTTTTATTATTTTACCAGGTAAGGCCCACCGGGCTATATAGCTCTTTTTCAGAAGCAGCCTGGCTATCGCAAATGATAGCGTAACAAAGTGGATTATCACGTGGAAATGTATAGCAGCCAAATACTCTGAACGCTTGATGTTGATTCTGAATGTGGAGGGGAAAACCGGAGGACCCGGAGAAAAATCCACGCAACCACGGGGAGAGAGCCATGCAAACTCCAAATATACACGTATCAGGGTTGGGATGGAATCCACGACCTTCTAGCCACTTTGGCGCCCCCAAGTGCGTACGGTTGCAAACGTTGTGAACGGTCTCCTTATCGCCGACCGTGCGTCCACCTCTCCTCCCGCAGACCATGTTTGGCAAGGGCGTGAAGAGGAAGCTGACGGAGGAGGACGCGGTGGGCATGGCCGGCGGGCTGCTGCTGCTGCCGGGGGCCAGCGGCGCGGTGCCTCCCCGCTGCCCCCTGCTGCCCTGCGCCGCTCCGGGGCCAGGCCGGGCGTACGCCCTGCAGCGGCAGACCGTCATGTCCCTGTCGCTGGGGAAGCTGCAGGAGGTGCGCGGCCAGGTGGAGCCGTGCCTGCGCCGTTACGTGGCCGTCACCAACACGCTGCGCCGCATACAGGTGCGTCCGCCGCCACGGCTGCCGGTGGGCTCCTGCCCACCCGCTCGCCCGTTGCGGTGCCTCGTCCCTTGAACTTTAAGCGACCGCCCTAAGTAGAAGCCCGGCCCCTCGCGACTCGAAATCTGCTGCGCACGTCGCTCGTTAAGTCAAGCATCGATGCGAACGGCTCGGCGTCGTCTCACTTCGGTGTCGCCCGCAGGAGGAGTTGAGGCAGGAGGGCGTGTCGCGCCCTCTGTTGCCCTCCTGGGTCGGCGCCGGCGTCGGGGCTCAGGGTCCCCCCCCTGACCGCAGCTGCGCAGAGACTCCGCCCCACTCGCTGGGTCGGGGGGTGGCCGGGAGCCCCTCGTTCGCCCTCCTGCCGCCCTCCTCTTCGACTCTGCCTCTGCTCCTCCCGCCAACCGTGGACCTGCGGAGCGAGGCGGGCGGCCCCGAGGGTTCCCTGTGCGCCATCTCCAAGCTCTGCCACGACGACGACGAAGACGACGGCGACAACGACGACGGGCGGGGAGGAGGCGCGGGCGCCCCGCCGCGCGCGGAGCCCGTGGGCCGGACTCGGTGCGCCTGCTGGGCGGGGGTGGCGCCGATGCGGGGTGACGCGCAGCCGCCGGCCGCAGCCTGTGGCTGCGTGCGCCGCGACGCGAGTGCAGAGACGGAGCCGTCGGAGCGAACGGCGGGGCCGCCGGCGCACGGCCCGACCGGCAGGTCGCCCCCCGACGCGCGAGCGCCGCCCGTCCCCGAGATGCCGTTCGTCGGCGGGGTGGGATGCCTCGACGGCACGGCCACCGCCTTCCTGCTGCCCGAGCTGTCGCTGGACGACGTGTTCACGGACGTGGACACCGCCATGTACGACTTCGACCTCTTCGCCCCGTCGGCGCTCGCGGGCGCCCGCGGGGCGGGGCCCGCGGCGGGGGACGAGTGGCCGCGCGGGGGCGTCCCGGCGCCGTGCAGCTCGGCCACGGGCGGCTCGCCGCAGTTCAAGGCCGACCTCAGCGAGCTCGACCACATCATGGAGGTGCTGGTGGGGTCGTGAGGGACGGGCCCGCCGGACGGCGTCTCCTGCCGAACGTTACGGGGCCGACGTCCCGCGGGTCGCGTCGGCGTGACCCCGGGGTGGGGGCGAGCGCCGCCCTCCGGCGACAGCGCGGGGCGGCGTGCGCTTGGATCGGAAGAATGGGCGTGGCGCCCACGTCCCCTGGTGTAGGGTGGGGGGGCGGTCACGACACGGCGGGTGGGCGGCGTGTTGCTCGCACGCTTAGCGGTGTCGGCGCCGATCCATGCGCGCAAGTTCTCTGGCCTCTCCCAACTTACAAACTCGACGGCATTCAAAGAGCCTCCGTGACTCGTCTGGGGGCGAAAGAAGAACGTCAATCAATAATGGCATCGTGTAAATCTCGCTGATAACTCGTTAGCACGCCGTGTGCACGTTTTGGGACAAGGTGCTCTCCGTACAAGTTTCCGGGAGGACTCGCGGCTGCCTCTGTCCGCCCCGCGCATCGTCGGAGGCGAGGGTTCGCTGCCCGCGTGCGGGGTGCGTCGCTTCCAGGGTGCTGACAGCATTCGCGCCGCGACCCGACCGACCGTCGGATCGTCGTCGTCATCGCCGCCTCCACGACTTTGTCCGTGCTCCGTCGGCATTCTGTGCGGACGCCGCTGAATCTTGACGTCCCGTTTGCATCGACGGTAGAACGTCGGAGGTCGTAATTGGACGGAGGACCCGGCTTAGTTTTTCATTTAACTCCTACACAACCGGCCGTCGCCCTGCGGGGCCACGGGCGTCTTATGCATTAGAGAACTTACAGCCCGTGTCGCGGGCCGAGCTCTCATCAGGTAACAAACGTCACTTCGTGTTCGTATCTTTTTCTTTTTTGCAAACGTCCAGAAGCACCAGCCTGGACGGTGCACGCGGCCACAAGGTGGGCACGGGCATCGATGGGCCGGTTTTTTTCCCCGAGCGGTTTTCCCCCGCCGTCGATGCGATCGGACTGAGCGACGGCATCGTGGCCCAGCCTTCTCAAGCAATCTCTACACCCTCCTTACCTCCGGCAGGGAAAGCACACACACACGGTCGGTCTCACACGAGGGATACAGCCGCCCCCCTTGGCTGTCGGCTGCCTTTTTTTATACCGTTTTTTTTTCGTCAAGAGGAGTCTTTGAGTCGTTGACGACGCAGGTCTCGGTTGTGCGCGTGGGGAAGTTTCGTCACTGCCCGGATCCTTAACATGTACACGCGCAAGCACATACACAAGCACGCACGCACGGGCCCGTGTGGCTAGGCATGCCGCAATTATGCGCGTTACGCACTGCCCGGCGTACGCACGCGCGGATGTTCAAGTATTCTCCCAGTGCAGTTTGCAAGGTAACCTTTCTACCGCGTAGAACTTTATTAAATCAATGCTACTGATGATGTGTGTTGTGAGTGCAGAATACTTAAATGCAAACCCATAGAGGACAATGAAACCTCGACAGTAATGGTGAATTGACCCAGTGTTGGCCTCGATCAGTGACGTATAGTATTTATTATTGCTTCCCGATACATAAATAATCTCGACACCATTACCTTTGTGCAAACACACAAACATTACAGTATTTGTGTTCCAGTTTACATGCTTCCTATACTTTTCATTTAGAATCCAGTTGCACACCGCTTGCAAAGAGTTACATCTTTCAGCAGGGAGCCTACCAGTCCAAGTACTCTGGTATAAATACCATGACCCTGCAGACAGCAGTACCAGCTCTGCAGAGAGCAATACGAGTATTTTGAGTACACGGAGTTAGCACAAGTGCCGTGCCTGTACAGACAGTGGCGCCAACTCTACAGAGAGATATAGAAATAATTGTCACTACAGAGAATGGTACCAGCATAAGTGCCGTGACCTCACAGAGTTCAATACCATGTCAAGTATCTTCACACAAACGCAATATTAACTCTGCAGTGAGTAGTCCTAACTCTGCAGTGAGTCGTACGAGCACAGGTATCATGAACCCACAAAGAGTAGGACCAGGTTACCAGTACAAGTATTGCGACCCCAGCTCTCAGGGGTAATGAGCGTGCCTAGTCGTTAGGGGCCATCCTATTAGTACGTACGCATGGAGGGGGGGAGTTAACCCAAATGCGTTTGCTTGCATATGAGGGGGTCTACTGACAATGTACGAATAGGAAATGGGTGGGATGGTGAAGCCTCGATAATAATTTGTCTACATCGGCCTTCAAATGAGCCACAGTTCAGTGTTTCCAGCTGTCAGACAACAAGCACTAGCGGGAGAAGTGGGACTGTGGGAGAGGTTTCACTCGCGTGCCACCGTGCCCCTGACTGCAGCTCTCACGCAGCTCAGCAAAATAAGTGGCCAAGCTACGCAACTTAATTCTTTAATGCAGCCGGCGGTGGACTATCTGTTTGCTTAAACACGTTAATATTGTTCATATTCTTGGGTCTTTCGGTAAAGTGACGTAGATAGGTTCAAAGAAAATAAAAAAAATAACAATCTACGTGACTTTACCGAAAGACCCAGGAATATGAATTCCTGCAGTCACGAAAGTTTTAAGTCAATATTATTAATCCTTGATCGTTTCTGCGTGGATTAAATATCGGCCGTTCTATAGGATTCGAGGGGGAGGGGGGGTGCGTTAAGCGTGCGTACGCAGGTGGGGGGGGGGGGTGTAAAAGTACGCGGGCGTACAGGGAGGGTGGGAGGGGTCAAGTTTTGACAGATGTTTGCGTACCTACTCAATGGATAGCCCCTTACCCCAGTGAGTTCAGCCAAGCGGATCGTTTAAGTCCTCCCACCTCTGTTCTCTTCCTCGCCAACTTCCCTCATTCCCCTGGCCGTTCACCATCTCCGTCTCTTACATGTCATTTGCGTTGAGATCGGATGAGCAGTCGCGTGCCTTAATCGCCGAGTTTGTGTAACGTGCAGAGCGGTTTAATTTTTACCGATGTCGTTGGCGTCGTTGGCGTCGTCGTTATGTTTCGACCAGCGTCTGGCGTGGGGACGAGTCGGGGGCCGGGTGAGCCCCTCGGCGCCCCCTCGACCGCCCGTGCCACGTGGCCCTGCTGGCACCACCGAGGTGCCCACGTGGGCACCGTGACGAAACACAGAGAGAGAGGACTCGGAAGGAGAATTCCTTTTAAGATTCTCCTGCCATTTTCATTGAAAAAATCCTTCAGGCAATCGGTTTCCAAATAAATTGTTAGTTTAAGATACTGTAACGATGAATTATATTTGAATGGAAGTGGATTTGAAATACACTTTAATGGAAAATGTATTTGCATGTTAATGGAGCAAACCTGTCGCCCTACACCTAATCTAATCCCTGTCCCAGTCCTAACTCTTGCATTGACAGGGTCACGGTTAGAGGTAAGGGTCAGGTTTGCTCACACACTATTTGATTTCGTGAGGATTTCTTAGAAGAAAATCAATGTTCAGGTTTTGCCGTGTAATCTCTGGGTCACCGTTCGTCTCCGCGGGGCAGCCCGTCCAGCCGCGTGGACATTCTCAGATCCCTCCTCGTCTGCGGGTCCTCCTGTCCGTGGAGTGGGGGGGGGAGACAAATCCGTCTCGCCCCCATCAATGGGCTTCCAGACACGCTGGTGGAGGACAGTCGCTCAGTCCGCCAGCGTGACTTTCACAACTAAGTTATTGTGTTAAGTTATTACAGATTAATAAATGTTTAAGAGTAATAATTGAAAAAAAATCTGCGGATTATTTAAGACATTTAAAATTGCAGTAGATTTCCATTTTCTTTCGTTATTGTTGCGTGTGTTTTTGTGGGGAGTGTGTTTTACACAATTTAAAGAGAAAACTGAAGAGAACTAATTTTTGTACGAGTTTAGAGTCATAAATTATTATGTTTTATTGTTTTTTATTGGCGGCTAAAGCCATGGGAAGGACACGAGTTGGTGGGTTTGTGTGGCCGTGTCGAGGCCTGCGATGGTGTGTGGACTTCAGGGTGCTTGAGAAACGTGTAGACTTTAAGGCATTTTATTCTGCACTTTCCGAGCGGAGGGGTTTTTACGTGAACATGGAGCATGGAGAGATTGTGTTGTGGAAGTTCCACGTCGTTTCTTTTGTTATTATTTGTGGTTTAAAAAAAAACTGAACCAAGTTTAAACAAGCCACTAATGTAAGGCTAATTTTTTTAAAGTCTGTAATAAGTAATATATGCTTTTTTGTGAACTGGGCTACATACAAATGCTTTGTTATTTCATTTTCTAAAAAGGATCAAACCTGTAATTATTTTTGGAATTTCAGAAGGGGGGTACATGTTTATGAAATCTGATTTTTCTAGAGTTAAATTTTTTCTCCCTGTAGATTTTATCTGTGAATGGTGTGTACGGCCTATAGAAAAAAACAATATCTTAAACTTGTGTAAATGGTACTAATGCTTGTTCTTTATTCATTGGAACAAAGTACATAATTTGAACTTTTTTGAATTATTAAAGAAATAAATGAGATGTAGTTGCCAGGCATCTTTACTGCAATTCATTTGCCTTCTTGTGATTTCATTTTATGTTTTATTGTTATTATTTTTATTTTTGCAGCCATAAACCTAAACAAATTATGTACAAAACAAAGGCCACACTTGACAGCCTAAAACAAAACAAAAAATTTGCCTCTATAATTCAGGTCTCATGCTAAAAACTGATTTATACAATTGCCACAAACACATCCGTGTAATAATATAATTGTAATGACGTCTCTTACAGTGGTTGCAATAATTGACTAATGAAGCAATGATTTTTTTTTATTTAACGGTATTTATTCAGAGTTTTTATTTAAAAGCACAAATGGAAGTCTCGGATTGCCCACGACTGTGTTCCCAGCTGACGTGGTGCCGATGTGGAGTCCAGCAGGCTGTGCACACACACACACACACGTGGTTTACTAGGATGAGATAAAGAGAACCCTGCATTGTACCTGTCTGTACGCAACCCCTGTGCCTTTTCTGTACACTTTTTGCAGGTCATTGTAATATCCTGTCATAAAATAAACGAAATTTAAATCGCGACCTCTGCTCCGCCTCCGTGTCTTTACCGGACCGAGGGCACCACCACCAACCACCACCAACCACCACGACGTCTCCCTGGAGAGGAGGGGAGGAGGAGTTCCCCTCCACGTGGTGCCGGACGACGCACGCACCTCGCCGTACCAGCGGAGCAGCGAGGGCGGCCCTCCACGTGTACAACTACACGGTGGGCCCAAGCCACGAGTTTCCAAAGACAATTTCTGCAGTTATTGGCCTGAAAACATAAAATTACCGGTGGGGTGTTTTTTTCTGGCAAAAAAAACCAACGCAGGGTTTGCAAGTTGATATATATTTTTAGTTGAATTCGTTTTTCTCGTGTTGAGAAATGTGAGGCAGGTGAACTGGAATCGCATTTATTTATTTTTCCAACGGAAGGAAACGTCCACCTGGCGAATGGCCCCTTCCGTCAAGCTCGGAGCCAAGGAATTTGCCCGCCTGGTTCTGGGGCGCGAGGAACACGAAACACATGGCCTCCACGAGCCGCGCGCAGAGCGGACAGGGCTATTAAAAACCTCCGCCGTGAAACACGCCGCGTGTTGCGAGGCCGCTGGGCACGTGCGGATGTTATGTTTCATCTGAGCGGCAGAAAAGCGGATGGCATTTTTTTTCTCCCTCCTACATCATTCTTCACCCACTCGGCTCTCCCATACACACAAACGAGATGCAGCTTCATCGGCACGAAGAGAAATCTGCGTCGGGTCCGTAACCACCAACAACCAAACAAACCACTACCACCACCAGAACTGCCCGAGCCACAGTTGCCAAATAAAATACCCGCAAACTGTTCACTTGGAAGTTACGTAGCCAGTCATCGTCCCCTGGACTGCAAAAAAAACTTGGAAAGACCCTCCTGGAAAGGAGTCATGTGACTCAGTGAGGCTTACACAAGCGTAGTTAGAATAACACAAATAATCATCATCATCATCACTACCACCATCGCACTCAGTACCAATGTGAGTCCGTTACCTACACATACAAGGCGTTAGCATTAAAACAAGACCGTGTGAGTGAATGCGAGTGGAGGAGATCCCCTTAAGCTTACCGAGCTCCCGAAGCCTCCAATGTAAAAGCAACCACGTGGAGAACTTAAACGCGATGGTGTAGCGCCGCCTAGCGCCATCATCACCATCAGCAGCAGCGTCGCCTTCGTCCAAGTCTGCACTGGCCTCCGAGTGCACTGTGGATGTCCTTCAGGGATTGTGCGAAGAGGCCCTTTGAGGTCACGAACCTCGCATCCTCCAATCTGATGCAATGTAGCAATCGATAGGATCATTCACTTTGTCTTCTACGTCTTCTTCGTGTCTTAATTCACTCAGAATGCCGCACATCTCGAAAGCTAAGCAGGGTTTTTTGAGCCTGGATTTACGCCGGGATGGGGCGACCACCACCATGCGCATAACAGGTGTTATAGGCTGCTGCGAGGCAACGCTGTGGGCAGCGGAGGGCAGTAATGGACTAATGTAGTCATCTCCAAGTCCCTCCGTTCACTCTCTTGTGTATTCTCCGGGTCTCCAGCACCACGCACTCGGCCTGCGTTGTCGAGGGTCGTTGTGGGGCGAACCGTACGTACGGTGCACCGTATATTGAACTTCTTTCGCACTGTACGTAGATAAGCGGAACCCCATCGGGTCTTCAAAAACAAACATATGGTATCAATGCGGTTTAATCGGACCGCCTCTTGGCTTACCCGACTAACGTTATTGACTAACACCATTACCCGACGAACATTACCCAGCCGCGTTTGTTTGAGCAAGCGAATTATGGACCGATTTCGACAGTTGTGTTCTCATCAGCAGAGCCGACGTTGTTACGACGAATTAACCGCGCCAGAGTTGTATCGCTCAAATGCTTTCGCGATGGATAGTATTGATGGATAATTGTGATGGATAATATTGGTATGGAGAGCCAGTGGGCTGACCGTACTTCAAACATTTATTAGTTGGGATGTGGAGACAGAACGGGAGTCTCTGCTAGTCACCGAGTCTGTGGGGGTGCTTTCAGGAGAGTGCTGCCTGGGCCGAGTGGCCCAATGCATCTTTGACTTTACGTTACCCAGGATTTGAATATCCTGTAATCGCCACCAACCCATCATCACCGTCGCAATGCGTAAACACGCGACGAGAATGCATCACGAAGGTTCTCACTCTCCAGAGCCTTTATTTGCCCAAGAAAACCGAGCTTCATCCGTGTGTGTGTGTGTACGGATGCACCGTCAATATATTTATAATCTCGTGTTAAATATGAACGAAAAATCCCGACATCACATCGCTCTGCGCTGCCAGTTTAAATCTCCACGACACTCCACGTACACGCGCACGGTCACTGCACAAACACGCATGGGGCGTCGTGGCTCATCAGGGGCTCAGCGGTCGAGGTAAAAACACATTCCTGCGGAGGGAGCTGGTAGGAACGTTGGGTTGCTCGGTCAATGGCCAGGGTCAACGGCGGCGTGGTGTATTCCGCAAATATGCCCGACTGTGAGGGCGGGCACAAGCCGGCGTGAGTAGGTTAAACGTTGAGTTTTATAAGGGCACCACGGGGTGACCAGCCCCTCCCCACCCAGCCCCACCCTCCCCACCCAGCCCCACCCTCCCCTCCCCACCCAGCCCCTCCCCACCGTCCCCATCCAGCCCCTCCCTCCCCTCCCCACCCAGCCCCTCCCTCCCCTCCCCACCCAGCCCCTCCCTCCCCACTCAGCCCTTCACTGCACGACGGACACAATAATCCCCTGTGGGCTGGTGTAACCAGGAGGTTCCTACCAGTATTATCTAGGAGCGCCATCATCGACAGCGACTAAACAATGAACAGACGTTTTAGGCAACGGGCCCCTTTATTTATTTACGATGCCACTAGTTTTGAATCACGTTTATTGATGCAATCGGACTCGTCCTAACAGGTGCGGCGCGATCGGCCGGTGATGGGTCGATTCGGAGGTCAGATTCAGGGTGGTGGCGATGCGTGGACACGACGCGCCTCTCAAGGGGCGGCTGTCGACCCTTCCAGGGAGGTCACCGGTTCGCGAAGTTCCACTTTGGACCCGGCTACCTGAGCAGGTCGACTCCGCCTCAAAATGAGTACCTGGTGCGACGTCTAAACATCGCCACCGGGGAGACAAAGGCGGCCGGGCGTAACGCTGGCCTCCGACCCCCGTGGCGTGTCGTGGCGGCCTTCACACACGTATCGATAAGTGCTCGCTAACAGCGCTTGCCCCCACGTCTGTAAAGGCGATACACGGGGGATCTGTGTCGTTGCGCATTGACACGTCGCATCGCACGTGGCAGCTGGGCGAGACAAACATCCACGGGCCGTGCCAAGAAACAAATCGTCGACCCATCGAGAGCGCGAGGAGCAAGGTGAGGGCAGTCGGCGTGCTCCAGGCTGGTCACGTGGTACGAGGAGCAAGGTGGGGGCAGTCGGCGTGCTCCAGGCTGGTCACGTGGTACGGGGAGCAAGGTGGGGGCAGTCGGCGTGCTCCAGGCTGGTCACGTGGTACGAGGAGCAAGGTGGGGGCAGTCGGCGTGCTCCAGGCTGGTCACGTGGTACGAGGAGCAAGGTGGGGGCAGTCGGCGTGCTCCAGGCTGGTCACGTGGTACGAGGAGCAAGGTGGGGGCAGTCGGCGTGCTCCAGGCTGGTCACGTGGTACGAGGAGCAAGGTGGAGGCAGTCGGCGTGCTCCAGGCTGGTCACGTGGTACGAGGAGCAAGGTGGGGGCAGTCGGCGTGCTCCAGGCTGGTCACGTGGTACGGGGAGCAAGGTGGGGCAGTCGGCGTGCTCCAGGCTGGTCACGTGGTACGAGGAGCAAGGTGGGGGCAGTCGGCGTGCTCCAGGCTGGTCACGTGGTACGAGGAGCAAGGTGGGGGCAGTCGGCGTGCTCCAGGCTGGTCACGTGGTACGAGGAGCAAGGTGGGGGCAGTCGGCGTGCTCCAGGCTGGTCACGTGGTACGAGGAGCAAGGTGGGGGCAGTCGGCGTGCTCCAGGCTGGTCACGTGGTACGGGGAGCAAGGTGGGGGCAGTCGGCGTGCTCCAGTCTGGTCACGTGGTACGAGGAGCAAGGTGGGGGCAGTCGGCGTGCTCCAGGCTGGTCACGTGGTACGGGGAGCAAGGTGGGGGCAGTCGGTGCGCTCCAGACGGGCCGCCGCTCACGCGGGCATCGTGAGATCCACGAAGCTCAACAACTTTTACTGCAACGACCACTAAACCCACACGCACGTGGACACGGCGAAGTATATGACACACACCACGTGGGTCGCGACACGATTCACATTTGGTGAGGAAGGTCGGTGCGGGAGGCTCGCGAAGGAACGCGTCGCTACCGGTTGACGGTGGCCCACGGTCAGGAGTATTAAACAGGGTGGGCAGCCACAGGAATGGAACGCATCGCGAGGGCGACGACCCCCTTAGGAGATGGAGCTACGCACGGGGGTTGTGCGCGGGGCATTGGAGGGGTTGTTTCATCGCAGGATTGTGAGATGTGGCTCTGGGAGGCCTTCATCCAGCAGTGGATTGACCACGACTGTGGGAAGCTCCGGCGGGACACGCGGCGCGGGGGCAGCCCCCCCCGTCCCTGCGTAAGCACCGCCCACTTTCACACAGCCACGCCCACTAGGCCACTAGCCCCGCGCGGGCGACTTCCTCGCTCCCTGCCCCCCACTGCTGGAGTAGCCCCCCACTCTTTGCCACGAGGGGACACCGTGGATCCCCAGTAGAGGTGCGTGTGTGCGTATGTCTGTGAGTGTGCGTATGTCTGTGTGTGTGCGTGTCTGTGTGTGCGTGTCTGTGCGTGTCTGTGTGTGCGTATGTCTGTGTGTGCGTATGTCTGTCTGTGTGTGCGTATGTCTGTCTGTGTGTGTGCGTATGTCTGTGCGTATGTCTGTGTGTGCGTGTCTGTGCGTGTGTCTGTCCGTGCGTGTGTCCGTGTATGTGTGTGTCTTGTGGGGAGCGGTAGTGTAGTGGTTAGCGGTACGCTGCCCTATGAACCCGGGGACCCGAGTTCGATTCTAGCTCACGGCCAACACCGGTGACGATTATCTGAACCGGTCCTGGGCTTCCCCTATGTCGATTCAGCCTCAAATGAGTACCTGGTGCGGTGTTTAAACATCGCCACTGGGGAGACAAAGGCGGCCGGGCGTGGTGCTGGCTCCGTGCTATACGGGGGGATCTTTGCATGTGTCTGTCCGTGCGTGTGTCAGTGCGTGCATGTGTCTGTCCGTGCGTGTGTCCGTGCGTGTCCGTGCGTGTGTCCGTGTGTCCCACGAAGGTGTGCGGTGTCAATGGGTCCTCAGAGTGCTGTGGCGTCAAGGCAGTCGCGTCTGCGAGTCTTGTGTCACTTCCACCCCTGGCCGTCCCTGCGCGCCGGCTCAGTGCGACACGTCGATGGGCCCCGGCTGCGCGAATGCGAACCGCTTGCGCCGCACGGCCGGGCACGCGGCGAAGACGCAGCCGGCCGCCAGGGCGAGCGCCAGGCCGCACCAGCCGCACGCGAGGGCCCAGCCGAACCCGCGCGCCACGCCGCGGGGCAGCGCGTGGGACGCCGTGGCCACGCACGTGCACAGCGAGATGGTGCAGAAGACGCCTGGCACACACCGGCCGGCGTGCGGGAGGGGGAGACAGGAGGAGGGGGAGACAGGAGGGGGAAACAGGAGGAGTGGGGGAGACAGGAGGAGGGGGAGACAGGAGGTGGGGGAGAGACATCCACGGTGTCACATCAGCCAGGGGAGGGGAGCCCCCGAGTGTTGGCGCCGATGTCATTGCGCGGAGTGGTGCACCCCCGGATCTCAGCTCACTGCTACACGCGGGCAGAATTCAAGGCGAAGCAGCGGCCAGGGTGATTCTAGAGGCGGCACTCACCGATTCACTCGCTTCACTTACCGGCGGTCGATCCCCTACGTATCACTCTTCTAGAGCTACTACTACTGTGCTGTCATGCTTACTGCTTCCCGTGAATATTTTAAATTTAATCTTTAACTCCCATGTTGAATTTTCGGTCTCTACCAGACTGACTGTTTCGTGTCATCCATCACACTGTGTTCAATCACCACACTGCAGGTCACAATAACTCACTCACCCACTCACTCACCACATCGCAGGTCACAACAACTCACTCACCCACTCATCCACTCACTCTCCCATTCACTCACCCACACCCACTCATCCACTCACTCACTCTCTCTCCCATTCACTTACCCACACCCACTCATCCACTCACTCTCTCTCCCATTCACTCACCCACACCCACTCATCCACTCCCTCACGCACTCATCCACTCCCTCACCCACTCACCACACCGCAGGTCACAACAACTCACCCACAACCACTCATCCACTCACTCTCTCACCCCTTCACTCACCCACTCACCACTCCGCAGGTCACCTCGCTTCTCTCTCTGCTCCACTTTGGAATCCCCTTGCGGCCTTCATCAATCACAGTCTCGTCTCCCCCAAGCTCCTGGAGCCCCCAGCTCCATTCAAGATCGGTGCCCTCGGCGTATTTGCTCTTGGTCATTCGACGTCGTTGGGCCTGTTCTCAGCAACTCTGTGCTCTTAACACTTTATTTAAACGAAACTATTTTATTTATTTAATTTTACCAGCTAAGGCCCCACTGAGCTATGTAGCTCTTTTTCAGAATCGATCTGGCGTATCACAAGTGATAGCTCGACGAAGCGGCTTATCACGTGGACATTTATAGCAGCCAAACACTCTAAACGCGTGACGTTGTTTCTAAACGTGGAGGGAAAAACCGGAGGACCCGGAGAAAAATCCACGCGGCCACGGGGGAAGAGGGAGAGACACCACAAACTCCAAATATTCAGGCGCCAGAGTCGGGATCGACCCCACGTTCTCCTGTCTACCGGGCGAGGTAGTTAACATCTCGCTCTCGTGGCGCCGGTGTTCTGCCTTTCCTCGCCCGTGCGGTGTCGATGTTCCGCTGGCCCTGCGAGCCCGCGTGGTGGTGGCGGTGGTGGTGGTGGCGCGGGCCCTCACCGGCCATGAGGAAGAGCAGGCCGGCCACGTGCTGTGTGAGGCTGGGCTCCCAGCAGCAGCTCAGGGCCCCGATCACCACCCCGCAGCCGAGCACGGCCAGAGCCATGCCCAGGAAGCCGGCAGTGATGCGCCGTAGGTCTGAGCCGTTCCACACACGCGCACGCACGGGGGGGGATGGGTACACGTGGGTACATGGGGGTATGGGTACACGTGGGTACATGGGGTATGTATGGGTACACGTGGGTACATGGGGTATGGGTACACGTGGATAGACGGGGAATGGACGCACGGGGTATGGGTCAACGCGCGTGGACACGGACACGGGTGGGGGTATAGGAAGAGGCACATGGGCAGGAGTTCATACTGGATGTAGATTCCGGTGCACGTGCTGGTGGTGCTGATGCTGCTATTGAGGATGCTGCTGGTGGAGATGACGGTGATGGTGCAGATGCTGGTGCTGGTGTAGGTGGTGATGGTTTAGATGATAGTGCTGGTGGTGTAGATGGTGGTGTAGATGGTGCTGGTGTAGATGGTGCTGGTGGTGTAGATGGTGCTGGTGGTGTAGATGGTGGAGTAGGTGGTGGTGTAGATGGTGGAGTAGGTGGTGGTGTAGGTGGTGCTGGTGGTGTAGATGGTGCTGGTGTAGATGGTGGTGCTGGTGTAGATGGTGGTGCTGGTGTAGATGGTGCTGGTGTAGATGGTGCTGGTGTAGATGGTGCTGGTGTAGATGCTGCTGGTGCTGGTCCTCACGCAGGAGGTGCCACTCGTCCTGCTGCAGGCGCCGCGTCGCGTTGTGTGACAGCTGCCTGCCCAGGGCCCTCCTGGAGGAGCTGTAGCGGACAGCCACGCAGCGGCGCAGCGAGCCTGGCGCGCGCACCGCACGGGGCGCGCGCTGTGAGCCACGGGCGCCGCCGACGGACAGCCACGCGCGGCCGCCTTTGTCTCCCCCTGCCGATATTTATACACCTGGCCGGCTACGCATTTAACGTTGAGTCGACCTAGGGGGAGGCCCTAGGTCGGCGCAGCTGTCGCTCGCCACCGATGTGCGAACCTGCCCAGGGGCGTCCCTCCCCTAGGTGCACTCAGCCTTAAAGCAAGCACCTGAAGCGCTGTGTACAGACTCTGATCAAGCACCTGGCGTGGCTAGCTGAGTGAGGGGCGTGGCTAGCTGAATGAGGGGCGTGGCTAGCTGAGTGAGGGGCGTGGCTAGCTGAGTGAGGGGCGTGGCTAGTTGAGTGAGGGGCGTGGCTAGCTGAGTGAAGGGCGTGGCTAGTTGAGTGAGGGGCGTGGCTAGCTGAGTGAAGGGGCGTGGCTAGCTGAGTGAGGGGCGTGGCTAGTTGAGTGAAGGAGCGTGGCGAGCTGAGTGAGGGCGTGGCTAGCCGAGTGAAGAGGCGTGGCTAGCTGAGTGAGGGGCGTGGCTAGTTGAGTGAGGGGCGTGGTTAGCTGAGTGAAGGGGCGTGGCTAGTTGAGTGAGGGCGTGGCTAGCTGAGTGAGGGGCGTGGCTATCGTCTGATTGACAGGGCAGCACACGCGATTCCCACCACCACCACCGGCACCCTTCCTGGCGATGCGATTACTGGGCGATTCAATAATCGAATATTATTGTTTTTGCAGAGCCTAAACGCACCCTCGGCAAACATCATTTGTATGGAGGTTGCATAACATCGTTAAAACAAACATCGATTCTCGCACGCGCGCGGTCCGATGCGTGATCCTCAATGGTGAGTCGATGCGTCCCGACGTCCCTGGCCCTGGTGACGACGCCTGGCAGCCGCGCATCGCGGCCCGGTGTGACGCCACACGGACCCAGCAGCAGGAGCACCAATAATAGCAGCAGCATCATCAGCAGCAGCATCAGCAGCATCATCAGTAGCATTATCATCATCAGCAGCAGCATCATCAACAGCATTATCATCAGCAGCAGTATCAACAGCAGCATCATCATCAACAGCAGCATCATCAACAGCAGCAGCATCATCATCAGCAGAAGCATCATCAACATCATCAGCAGTATCATCAACAGCATCATCAGCAGCATCATCAACAGCATCATCAGCAGCATTATCAGCAGCCATCTGTTGCATCGTCGTCGTCGTCCGTTCGTGTTGTTATCGAGAGCGCTGCTGAATTCACTTCCACAGAGATGAGTTCGAGTGGCGGCTGATTCGTCTTCGCAGGGGTCCGTTGAAGCGATCCCCGTTGACTTCCAAGGCCAGCATTCACCTCGATCATTAAATGATCGCGAATCACTTTCAGACAGATAACTCGGCGATCAATAGACCTGATCGTAAATTGGTACAAGCGGCCGTCATCCATTCTTACAAAGACATCGGTTCATAATCTCGACCCCCCCCCCCCGCCCGCCTGCGAGTTAAAGGGACGTGCATTCACTCGCACAGATGTGGATGCATGTTGAACTTCTTTCGCACCGCACGTAGCCCACCGTGCTGATCGGCGGTGTACATTTGCCTTTACTGCGTATGGCGACCACAGCCCCCCCCACCCCACGAGCTAAAGGTACCTGGCCATCAAAGCGACAAGAGGTCACCAAAATCCCTCCTCGCCTGAAGACCTGACGACGCTTCTGGGCACGACTCGAAACGGCAACCGCAGGGAACATCGCAGCTGCTGATGGTGATGATGATGCGGATATTGGATGGTGCTGATGGCGCTGATGGTGCTGATGGCGATGATGACAAATTGTCCGGGCGGCGTGCGCAGCCGGTGGTCACCACCCAGACCAGAGGCCGTGGGACCCGTGACGCAGACCCCGAATCACACACGACGCGGAGGAGGAGGCGGAGGAGGTGGCGTAGTTGCCATCGTCACAGCCACAAGGCGACCGCTCCGTTACTACTCCTGACTGCCGCGGTCAGCTTGCCTCTTAACCCTCCTCAATGTAACACTCGAGCTGGTGTTCAACAGCAGCAACAGCCGTACGGGCAGGTTTAGAGCGACTTTCATGATCTTTTATGGTGATCTATTGACCAAGCGTGCTTTCATTCTCATGGAGTTTGTTTAATGTCACAGAGATCTGCCACAGAGATCTCGAGTTATTCACTTCAATGGGAGTCCACCGACGTAGGCATCTAACATTACAGCGACCAGCATTTGTTATCACAGAGATCTATACATTTAAGTCAAAGATCCCCCGTATAGCCTTCACATACTCTTGGGGCAAGTGCTGTTAGCGAGCACCTCTGAAGGCCGGCACCGCACACGAGGGGTGCGTGGCCAGCACCACGACCCGCCCGGCCGCCTTTGTCTCCCTAGTGGCGATGTTTACTGCACACCGCACTAGTTACGGGACTCGTTTGAGGCTGAGTGGACCTAGGGGAGGCCCAGGAGCGTCACTGGTGTTGGTGGCCGTGAGAGGGAATTGAACTCGGGTCGCCGGGTTCGTAGCGAACCGCCACGCAGCGGCTGCCCACATCAAGAGACGCGTTTAAGCGACTGTCACTCAATTTTCAAAGCGATCTCTTCCTTTCCATGTCCGTGTGAACACGTGTATTGTGGTTGCCGCGATACGGCGACGCCACGATTGCGTACGATGAAAGACCCGCGATGATTGTAACGTCCGTTTGAGAGAGAAATCGATGATAGTTTTTCTCATAATTTCGTGTCGGAGAGCACGATGATTGCGTGCTGTACGTTGAACTTCTTTCGCACCGTACGTAGCCAACCGTGCTAATTCGAGGTGCGGGGAAGGACAACAAGGAACTAAGCACAACAAAAAAAACATCATTTTAGGAAAGATGCGGTGGGCGAAACGCGGCGATCACCCAGCCCGTTATTCGCGTTCCTCGGCAGCGCGGGGTCGCGATTATCACACACGACGTTCTTCACGAGTACCCCCCCCCCCCCCGCGGCAGGGTCTCAGAGACGCCGAGTTGTCCTGTTCCCCCCACGGTGACACTTCGCCTGCCCACATACCTATCCCGCCATAAAACGGGGGTTTTAGTTGTGTACACATCTCATCAGCCGCACACGCCCTTGCCTTGCTGCGAGCGCATATCGGCAGCGTTAGTTGCTTCAACACAAACAACACAACTCTGGACCGGGTTTCAACTTGCAACATCTCATCAGCAGAGCCAGGCTCGCTGGAACAAACGCGCAGCTCCCAGATGGTAATTACAGGCAGAGAGCCTCCTCTCTCGCTTAGATACGGGCCCTAGATACATACATATACACTTGCATATAAACCTACATATACACTTGCATATAAACCTAAATACATACTGTATACACTTGCATATGAATCGGTCCAGAGTGTGCTCGTGTTGAAACCAATGCTGCAGTGATGCTCAACAATGATTTTCATATCTATCTAAGTTTCATGTGAAGTCACAGACATGGGAAGGAGCCGCAATGTTTTCGTGATGTAGTTACTCGTCTGTGTGCGTGTGGCCGGGTGCGCGTGAGTGGGGAGCGGTGGCGAAGCGGTTAGCGCGCTGCGCTACGAACCCTGCACCCCGGGTTCGATTCCCGCTCAGTGACGATTAACTGAACCGGTCGTCGGCCTCGCGTAGGTCGACTCGGCCTCAAATGGCGCGGTGCGTAAACATCTGCACTGGGGAGGCAAAGGCGGTCAGGAGAGGTGCTGGCCACCCACCCCCTCGTGTGCCGTTGCCGGTGTTATTCACGAACAGCACTTGCCCCAAAAGTCGATAACGCTATCCGGGGAATCTTTACCTTTTGTTGTAAATGTGCGCGTGCGTGCGCGTGCGTGACCTCGCGGGGTCACCTTTCTGCACGAGGGCGTCCAGCTCGGGGTCGTGGCCGCGCCGGTAGCAGCGCCTCCACAGCCCCGCGTGCGCCGAGAAGACGGCGCGACCACACTCGGGCTCCTGCTCCTCCTCCTGCTGCTCCTGCTGCTGCTCCTGTTGCTGCTCCTTACCCGCGCTCTCCCCGGGACCCCCCTGGGCGGGGGCCCTCGCCCTGCCCGCGGGGTCCGCCACCACTCCAGTACCCACGGGAGCTCCCCCTCCAAAACGCGCCTGGGGGTCCCGCCCCCTACCAGACAGCCTGGAGCCCCCAGCACCCAAATGCCCTCCCGAACCTCCTCGCCCTCCGGGCCCTCCAGATCGTCCAGGCTTTGCGCCAACTCCGTGCCCCCCATCACGATCATCATCTCCACCACCACCACCTCTGCCAGGCGCCCCGTGTTGCGGTGGGACGGCGGGCAGGTCCCGCAGCGGCAGGTTGTGGCCCCCCGCGGGGTCGTGAGCGGAGGGCCCGGCCGGGCGCTCGCGGCAGCGCGCCGCGTGCACGCGCGCGTCCGTCTCGTACCAGTGGTCGCTCACGAAGGCCAAGGAGAGCAGCACCAGGGCCGTGCCCGCGGCCAGAAGGCCCGACACCTGTGGCACGCTGCAGCTGGCCATCGCTCCTGCAGCTGGCCCAACCCCTCTCAAGCCCTCCTCCTTCAACTGATGCTACTGAGCGCAGGGTGATGCCTGCTGGCGTGTGGCGGTGGTGTGTTGAGAGTGTCTGGGCTGGGTGATTGTGGTCGAGTGTTGGATCTTGGCTCGGTGTGTCGGGTGTGCTGTGGGTTGTATGTACTGTTTAGTGGTGTATGTGTGTGTCGTGTGGTGGTTGTGTGCTAGTTACATGCTTGGCTTGGTGAATATGCGTGTTGGTTGATTAGTAGGTTGCTTTGGTTGGGCTGGGTGTTGCTCGGTTGTGTTTTTTTAGTGGCTGTGTGGCTGTTGGATGTTGGTAGGGTGTGAGTGTTTTTTGGGGGGTATTTGATGGGATGTCCGGTTGGTGGTGGTGTTAGTTTGTGTAGGTGAGGCGTGTAAGCCAGGTGTGCTCGTGTGTTGGTGAACGTGTGTAAGTGTGTGTGTGGGTGTGGTGGTGTATGTGTCGGTGAGAGATAGAGGTGTAGGTGTGTGTGTGTAGGTGTGTTGGTTGAGAGGTTGCAAGCTGTGTTTGCGTGCTCCAGGAGGGAGCGCTGTGCTCGGATCGTGCCGCGCGCCTCCACTGCTCAACCCGCCGCGCGCTCCACGTGGCCACGGAGAGTCGCGATCTTGGTGTGGGGAGAGACGCGGACTGCACCGGGGTAGGGGGAGTCTCGGGTGGGCCACGCGTGGGGGGGAGCGCGGGTGCGGAGCGAGGGGGGGGAGACGCGAGGAGGGAGCAGAAATGCTCCGAGCGGTGTGCATCTGCATGCGGCATGGAGCGGTGTGTTGGTGCGTGTTTGTTGTGTCCGAGTGTGTGCGCGCGCCTCTGTACGCGCGTGTGTGCTGCGTCTGTGCGTATGTCTGTCTGTGTGTATTTTCGCTAACGGCACTTGCTCCCAAAAGTATGTTAAGACCACACGGGGGATCTTTGTTTTATTTATGTGTGCGTGCGTGTGTCTTACCCTGTGTGTGCGCGCGTCTGTGCGCGTCTCCGTTGCGTCTATACACGTGCATCGAGAACCTTGAGGCCGACCTGCCCTACGATTGAAAGCCATATTTAAAAGTAGTATGACAATGCACGGCCCTTCAACAAGAACGTCAACCTCTAAAGTGCACGGTATTTGCTCGCTCTGGATAAAAGAGAGAGAGAGAACGACTCAGAGGCGCGCCAAAAACCCATAGACACACGGGAAGGCAGCCACGCCGCGCGACCAGCAATTGCCCAAGATCCGTAGTCCTCTGTATATTCAGATGTTTTCCGCCAATTGGTGTTTATATGTGTGGGAAGGAACCGGAGCACCTGGAAAAAACCCCACGCGTGCGAGGAAGTGGCAGCACTCTGTCCCACACAGATGGAACAGATGGAGATGTTAGTCCACCTTTTGCTGTACCGCCTTCTCCTGGCGAGCCAGGCTCACGGGGAGTCTCACGACCGATGTGTGTTCCACTAACCCTCGCCTCCACTGAGCTGGACTCACAGGCCGCGTGCATAGCCACCGCCGCCTTTTGTGAATTCCCTGCTGGATGACGACGTGTTTTTTTTTGCCATACTTCACCACGTTGGTGAGTGCCGGTTGCTGGAGATAGGGGGTAAAATCACTCAACACGTTTTGAGTGTGTGCGTAATGAGTCCGTGTGTGCACGTTATGTCTGCGCGTGCGTTATGAGTGTGTGTGTGTTGAGTGTGTGTGTGTTGAGTGTGTGTGCGTTATGAGTGTGTGTGCGTTATGAATGTGTGCGTTATGAGTGTGTGCGTTATGAGTGTGTGCGTTATGAGTGCGTGCGTTATGAGTGTGTGTGCATTGAGTGTGTGTGTGTTATGAGTGTGTGCGTTATGAGTGTGCGCTATGAGTGAGTGTGAGTGTGTGTGCGTTATGATTGTGTGCTTGTATGTGAGTGCGTCGGTGCGCATCAGCAAGAAGCCGTGGCCTCAGGGAGGGAGCCGTGGGTGGCAATGGGGATCTCTTCACAAGTAGCGGGGGTGGGGGGTGTTGCGTGGGGGGCGTGGAGTGGGAGAAGCAATGGGCTGCTGTGTGGGGCGTGAGAGGAGGGGGCAGGGAGAGGGGGTTCTTAGTGTTGGGGGGGGGGACGCGTGGGTTGTGTCGTGGGGGTGAGTGGGGGGGGGGGGCTCATTGCGAGGGGAGGAGGGGGAGGAGTAGGAGCCATCACATCTCATCGAGTCAGCGAGGCATCGCGGTGGAACCTCGCCACATCGCCGTCTCCACCGCGCCACGACCCCCCCTCCCCCTGACACCGCCAAGTCGCGCGAGGCGATCTCGAGTGCTGCGCCTCGCAGCAGCGCAGCGCTCTCTCGGTCCGCCAGAGCGTCACGGAGAGCCCCCAGGACTCCTTGCCCAAGGGGGTTTTTGCACTGGGACACTGCCTGCACCGTGGCTGCGCGCCTGTGACGCAGCGCTTCGGAGGCAATGGTTGGGGGGTCTGCTGGTGGGCTCCGAAAACGGTCGGGAGGGGAGATGGTCAGTGCAGAGAGTGGGTTCGTGTTGATAGCAAGGGAAACATTTTTTGTACACATCCCACCCGCCGCACGGTCTTCTGGGAGTGATTTCGTTTGAGCAGCATTGGACCGGTTTTGACGTTTAGTGTCTCATCAGCAGAGTGAAATCGGTTGAGGGTTTGCCTTGTGTTAAAATGCTGATGAAAGCGCCTCCACTAGAGGGAGCTCTGGGGGGGTATTTGATCCACTCCTCGACAATGGAAGACTGTACTACAGACTATAGAGTATAGACTCAAGTATAGACAGTTGCGTTGAGCTTGGCTGCCGAAAGGGCATTAGGGGCCGTCCATAAATGATGTCATGCGATTTTGGACGACTTTTAACCCCCCTCCCTCGTCACACGGCGTCACAAAAAGTCAGACCCCCCCTCAAATATGACGTCACAAAGCTCTGCCCCGCCCCTCCCCCCAAAATAAAACATGCTTCAAATCGCTTTAAATTATTGTCATTGTAGTGCGTATTTAATGTGACGCTGCATTCTGATGTAGGAGAAAACATTTATTAAAAAGTCTAATTAAGTAGAACGTGTTGTCTATATTTATTTAAAGTTGCGCATTTTGATGTGACGTCCCATTTCTCAAACCCACTCCCCTCGTCACACATGTCTGACCCCCCCCCCCCCCAGGTGCGTGACGTCATTTATGGACGGCCCCTTAGCAGTAGCCCGATGCATCGACTCAATCCATTCTTACGCGTCACGAGTAAAACGTAGTTAAGATGTGACACATTTTTTTGTTGCCTTTGTTTCTCCAATTCAGTTTTCAGGAAATGCCTCGGCGACAGCATTGCACCCTGGAGACGTAGTTGTGTTGCCGTGTCTGGCCGTTACAACTCAGTGGAGTTTTTTTTTAGTAAATTAGGGCCATGATTTGCGGGAGCTTAGATGACTGCGTCAAATGTCTTCACGATTCGGAGTCTCTACAAGGGAAGCAGAATAACGTCGGCTGGCCATCGGATAAAGACGGTGGTCACCGCATTGCGCGCTTTCAAATGCGCTTCTGCGGCCGTCTGGAATGCTCTTCCTTCCGATATTAGGAAGCCACAGGAGCTATGCACTTTTAAATTTAGATGAAAAACTGATTTCTTTAGAACCGATCTTTGTGTGTTAGTTTGTTGTTCTTCCCCCGAACTTCCGATTAGCATGGTTGGCTACGTACGGTGCGAAAGAAGTTCAACATACGTAACGATGCATGAGTAGCCATAGGAACGGTTGTGTTCAGCAAAGACTAAGTCTCTTCATGGTAACGTTGAATTTGTTTTCGGGACACACTGATCCTCGGCACAACAACGTCTACTTTCCACCAATACAGCATCTCCCCCACCCCATCGTCTGAAGTGGCCGCGTCGAGTAAAGCCACGTGGACTCTTCAAACGCACGTGGCTGGTCGTGTTTTGGCGGGAACCCTGCCATCGTGACGCACGTCCGGCTGGGAAAGCCCACGTGATGGAAAACTGCTTCCGCATTTCGCGTCACGAGGGCGGGGCGAGGTGCGCGTTTATAAATCCCACACCGGATAGGCGTCGCCCCTTCCACCCCCTTACCCCCTCGCGATTGGCGGAGCACGCGCACGTGACGGCGCGCGCCACCCCGGCCTCTGTGCGCGTGCGCTGTGTGGAATTGAGCACGGGGGGCGGGGTATTGGGGGGGGTCTGAGGGGAGGGGCTCTATCGGTGGGGGGGGGGGGGTTCTGAGGGGAGGGGCTCTAGAGGGGGGGGGTGGGCGCGGGGGGAGGGGCTATAGGGGGGGGGGGTTCTGAGGGGAGGGGCTCTAGGGGGGGGGGTGGGCGCGGGGGGAGGGGCTGTGGATTAAGAGGCGCGTGAGGCGATAACGGTGCCCACGTAATGAGGCTCACCGCGTTGATAATTACCGCGACAACAACAACAACATCAACAGCATTAACAACGACAACAACAACATGGATGTTGTAGTGAGTGCTGCGCACTTGGACGGCGGCCGTCAACGGCGCGTTGGTGACCACGCGCTCCAGGCAGCCACGCGAACAAAGCGATGCAGTTAACGTCAGCCACGACTGCTCTTAGTGCTGCTGCTCTTGCTGCTCTTGGTGCTGCTGCTCTTGCTGCTCTTAGTGTTGCTCTTAGTGCTGCTGCTCTTGGTGCTCTTGCTGCTGCTGTTGTTGTTGACAGTTGCAATTCCGGTCATTGACGATCGTCGTCGTTATTGTTTTCTAATTGGGGTAACGATGTCACCAGGCAACGCGTGCGGGGGGGTGACGCCGTGAGGGGAAGACGCGAGGCGGGCGGGGCCGTGGTCGTGGTGGTGGTCGTGGTGGTGGTGGCCGTGGTGGTGGTGGTGGTGGTCGTGGTGGTGGTGGTGGCCGTGGTGGTGGTCGTGGTGGTGGTGGCCGTGGTGGTGGTGGTCGTGGTGGTGGCCGTGGTGGTGGTCGTGGTCGCTGCTGCTGCCGCTGCGGTCAGCGCGGGGATCGTCGTCGTCGTCGTGAGCGAGAGACGCAGCGGCGGAGACGACGACGACGAGGAGGAGGAGGCGGTGGGGGGAGGAGAAGTCGGTAGCAAGGAGTGTGGAAGAGCGACGAGCGGAGCAGTGAAGACAAGGACGGAGGCGGGGGGGGAGGAGGAGGGAGGGAGGAGGAGGAGGGCGATACGAGGGTGGGAGGAGTGGGGAGGCGAAAGACGTCTCGAGAGAGAGAGGAGTGAGTGGCGAGTGAGTGAGAGAGGGGAGTGAGTAAGGAGTGAGTGGTGAGAGAGTGGTGAGTGAGAGAGAGAGGTGTGAGTGAGTGAGTGGCGAGTAAGTGAGAGAGAGGTGTGAGTGAGTGGTGAGTGAGAGAGGAGTGAGTGAGGAGAGAGTGGTGAGTGAGAGAGAGAGGGGCGTGAGCGAGTGGTGAGTGAGTGGTGAGTGAGTGAATGAGGAGTGAGTGGTGAGTGATAGAGGAGTGAGTGAGTGGTGAGTGAGGGAAGGAGGCGAGCGAGAGGGGGAGATGAGCGGCTACGGACCCACGGGGCTGGACATCAGCCGCAGGAACCCGCAGGAGGACTTCGAGCTGGCGGAGCGGCTGGGCAGCGGCACGTACGGCGACGTGCACAAGGTGCCCGGGGCCCCATCACCGCTCCTCCTCCTCCTCGCCGCTCCTCGGCACTCATTAACACTCCGCACCACTCCTCACCACTACACCACCCCACACCACTACACCACTCCTCACCACTACCCCGCTCCTCACCACTCCACACGGCTTCTCACCACTACACCACACCTCACCACTCCACACCGCTCCTCACCACTACACCACACCACACCGCTCCTCACCACTACACACCACACCACTACACCACTCCTCACCACTACACCGCTCCTCACCACTCCACCGCTCCTCACCACTACACCACATCTCACCACCACACCTCACCACACCGCTTCTCACCACTACACCGCTCCTCACCACTACACCACACCTCACCACTCCTCACCACACCTCACCACTACACCACACCTCTCCACCACACCTCACCACACTGCTTCTCACCACTACACCACTCCTCACCACTCCTCACCACTGCAACCCGACGCATGCTGCGCCTGACTCTGGACCCGTTTGTGGCATTTTGACCTCCGCAAGGCACACGACCTTTGACCTTTTGACCCCAGGCGTCTTGGTCCATGACCACTCTTTTCAATTCACCCGTAACCCCTTTGGGCGGATGACCCACATCCTCCTTAACCTATGACCTCGTGGACTATGACCCAGGTTTCGCTTGGCCCACGACCCCCTGTGTTAAGGCCACGTCTTGACCTGTGAGATGTTGAATTCGCCGCACTCGCTGCGGGAGCTCTGGCTGTGTGGACTCGCTCTCATGTTGACCTCTTGACCTGGGACTCATTGATCTTGTGACCACACCTTGAAATATGACCCTTTGAACCTGACCCTCCTGGCCTGGCCTCTATCTAACTCCTGGCCTTATGTCGCTGGTTGTGTTCATACAACCAGCACCAAAGAAACCTAAAGTTTAATCACTTGGGTTGTTGAATGCAACGGGACTTTCGGCAGAATTCACGTCTCATCCTTCCCAGTCGTGATCCTTGCAAATTTGTGACAATTTGCATTTACAACACCAATACCTGAACATGTTTTTTTTCCAAACCCAACTACTGTCTTGATCACGTGCAACTTCTCGATGTCCTGTTGCACTCGTGGTTAGCCTGCCTTTCCCTCGAATCATAGACGCGTGCGCTCAGTGGGCTCCCACCGACTTGTACCAAGGTGTGTCCTGGACAGGCCTAGCTCTGTGTAGTTGTCAGATGAGCCGGATGACGACGCGATGAAGACGAATGGTGGCTTGTGATCCTCACAGCTCCGAGTTGTTGACTTTTGTCGCCTCGTTTCACCGCCAGACAACGGCAGTCCATTCCACTCAGTTCATCCTTTAAGCAGCGTACCAAGTGGCTTTGTGACTGGCCACTCGCCTCTAGCACTGACCACAAGATCACTGGCCCGCTCACCCGCTGAGCAGACCCAATGACAGAGGGTCAAATCGGAGCCAAGGAGGGCGTTAATGCATGACCTGGAAACACAATTAGCTGATTTAGAAATGTTGGGAAACGTGGTATTTAACTACTGTATAATTGATCAGCTACTTATTGATGGTGCCTGTATCAATAATGTGTACGTTAAATTATAAATAATTGCAGTATATTATTCTACTGCAATTGATGATGATTTGTATCTTTTCATAGAGCCATACTCAGTAAATAATGTGAATGTTTAATCATTGTAACACTTAACTGAATGCAGTAATGTGGCCAGCAACCGTGTATTATTGATGTGACCCCCAAACTCCCCAAGCACAACTCAGAGTAATCGGCAACCACTTGTTGAACACTGCCCAGATTATAAACCCCATGAGTGCTAGTGTCACCAGGAGCCCCTTGCCTTGGAGCCGTACCCATCCGCTAGCTCGTGAACATTAAACACGTAGTAACGTGTTCTGTGGATTATAAGAGCCTCCAGAAAGTAAGACATGTCCCAAACTTTGCGGTGTTTTAGGGAAAAAGGTGCTTATTTAATAGGGGAAGATATGGGTCTCTGGAGAGCCGTTTTTCGAGAAGATGAATGCTGCTTTATAACGGGGAAGATGTCTTCTGCAAGATAAATCTGAACGGCTGCTTGTGGTTCCTCCGTCCTCTTGGTGGTCATGTATTGTCGTGAAGAAGGATCACCGGAAAAGTATTATGAACAACTAAATTAAAGCAAGTGTTCTGGAAAACAATGTATTATCTCTGGATTATAAGAAGAACCACCCTCCCCCCAATCCGTGCGTTAAAATAGTGTACAGGGGAAAACATGCATCTTATTTTTGTAAAGTAAAGTAATCATATTTTTCAGGCTGAAGTCTATTCCCTGCTGGACGAAGGCCTCCCTACACTGTTGCGATAGACTTCACATGTGCCAATTGGTTCAGATATCACTTGCCTCTGATGTTATCTGTGGCTGGGAATCAAACATAGGTTGCCGGGTTCAGAACACAGTCTGCTAGCCACTGCACCACCACTCTACTCATGAACACTACACACGCTAATATATACATTATGAAATATCTAGCTTAGGGAAAATTCTCCAGCACAAAACTAGCCTTGAAACTTTTGTTATTTTCTTTCATTTAGATTTCTGTTGCGTTGTCTGAATGAGACAAAGATTTTTCAATTCAAGCAGCTAACAGCGAACATCACCTTGTGTGCAATAACGGCCTGGAAGATGACATCACTGAACTTCTTCCGAAGTTATATCCCAAGGCCCTTTTTAATCACATCCCAAGGCCTTTTTAAGCACATCCCAAGGCCTTTTTCATCACATCCCAAGGCCTTTTTCATCACATCCCAAGGCCTTTTTAAGCACATCTTGTATATGTGCTGCAAAGAACGTTCACCGCGTGGTAATTAAACCAACGTGTTAATTGTTTTGATTGCTGGAACATGCTGACTTGATTAAGTTAAACGCCATAATTAACTTATTTTTCTTTTGGTATAGTCATTGGTGACTGGGCTGAGGCCATCAACTCATGCCACATACGAAGCGGGATTCATCATGGCTGGCTGGCTGCAGTGCTTTGACATGGAATCATCCCCTGAGCCGCCAGCCCGCCTCCTCCACACTCTCCTGACCACATCTCCAGCCTCTAACCGTGATGCAACGTCACCCAGTGCTGCCGTGCGTTGGCACGTCAATACGCACATGTGTTTGCTTATTATTAACATATTATTTACATGCGTGGCGGGAACATGTAAATCTTGAAATATCTGAGATTGGACTACGCCGCAGTGTTCAAGTACAGCCTTTTGTCAACCCACTGCTGGATGAGGGCATCCCCATTCCATGCGGATCGTGGTGGCCGTCACGCTGGTTAGCGCAGGTTTGGTGAAAATGGGGGATATAATATGAGTACATTATGGTACTGTACTTCTATCCAGTGGCATAGACTTACAGTACAACAAAGTATTTTGCTACGCTGCTCTCTGCTGCCCACATGTAATCCCACAGTCTATACCACCTCTGCTACACGGTGGAGGTCCATCCAAGCACTATCCAAGCTCAACCCTGCCGAACCTCTGGGAGATGGGGTGCAGTCCGAGTGATTTGGTGGTAGACACACTACAATACGGCACCGGTAATGAATTACAGTTTTAATGTGCATTCTAAAATGCGTTCACACTCCCTGGCAAGTGGTTGTGCACCCACCATTCACCGTACTGGAACCGTGATGCCGATTGAACAGTGGTACAGTGGTCAGCTCCGTGCACTATGAACCCGGCAGCCTGAATTTAGCTCCTGGCCGCCACGGGCAGCATCAGTAGCGAGTGATATCTGAAGCAGTCCTGGGTGCACTCCCTCCTTCACAAACCCGCACTGACCAGCGTGGTGACGTACAATCCCCATGTGCGGCAGCGTTGGGCCTGTGAGCGTAGTGTCAAGTTAATTATGCGTTACCGTAAACAGCGCACCACTGTCACTTCAGTCCATATAAAACACGTATTTATTTAGTTTTTACACAGCACCAGATGCACAAGTTAAATAAATAATGATATTTACTAATGATGAGTACTTTATAGAAACAGCAACAGGGGACTTTGACAACTGGAAGCTTTGTAAGAGTTGTAAATTAAACGGCATGTGTTGTGAGTGTGTTCAACTGTCCGGCCGCACTGTGTGGAACCTCATGTGTCAGTAGGCAGGTGGAAAAACATTTAGACGATGATTCTAGCAAGCGGCTGTTCCTTTTTATCTCCTCGCTCGCTCACTCTCGCTTGCATTGCTCTTGGTGACACAAATGTGACACTTGGGAAAAGAGACAGAGGTACAAATGTGAGCGCGCACACAGCAGGGGAAGTAGCAGCGTAGAAAGTGTTGGTGTCTGGAAAGCCCAACCGGACGGTGAACAGGTCAGGAGGTCAACGTCATCTTCCCACCACTTCCTGCAATTCAGTGTGCGTAGTGCTCATAATACATGAACAGACACACGCACACATACCCTGCATTTTAACACTAGAGGACACACACCCTGTTTCATGATTTCATAAGAAACACACCCTGCCTCTTAGCTCGCTACGTTGTTAACGCACGCGCACTCCGAGTCGTCAGTGCGTGCGTTACTGGGCCACGAAGCGCACTGTAATCGTACGGCTGGAATGTATGATGAGGTTCATGTGACCAGGGTTGGTGGAATTGTTCAAAAAGAATACGGTCTCTGTTTTGTTGCGAACTCCATGAACTGCACACTTGGGGGCCGTCCATAAATGACGTCATGCACCTAGGGGGGGGGGGGGTCAGACATTTGTGACATGTGTGACGAGGGCGGGGGGTGAGAAATGTGACGTCACATCAAAATGCGCAACTTTAAATAAATATAGACAACACGTTCTACTTAATTAAATCGACTTTTTTTTATAAATGTGTTCTACAACATCAGAGTGCAGCGCCACATTAAATGCGCACTACAATGACAATAGTTTAAAGCGATTTGAAGCATGTTTAATTTTTTTTGGGGGGGGGACAGAGCTTTGTGATGTCATATTTGAGGGGGGGTCTGACTTTTTGTG